TAGCCTGGACCTCTTCAAGGTATCCACTGAAATATCTGATAACCCATTTAACTCATCTGCAAACCAAGTTAACCAACTATCCGTCTCTGCAGACGCCAGAGTATCCTGCCTGGACCAGAACCTGAATCTTGTTCTTGTCATTTGTGTGAAACTTTAATAAACTCTGTTAAACCTTTTACCAAGTCTCCAGTGGTGTTCTGCATTGTGGGTTTTATCTCTAAACCGATCATGACAGTTTTTTTTCTTATACCTAACTTGTGATTTTCTGTCAGTGTGATGAAGATGGAGCAAACTGGTGTTTCCTCCCCCATTGGGCTGCTGTTACACCTGCTGCCAAATTCCAGTGAGCCTGCACTGCTGCAGACTCACTAGACTCGCTGGATGATCTACTGGTACTACCCACTACATGGTTTGGGATGGCACTTAATGTGGCGGACCCTCCGCGGGAGCAAGCAAACAGAGGGTTAGTGCTCAGGGTACATCACCCGACCAAACAGTACCTCATCTGTTCCCTGAATTTTTGTCAAAGCTGGGGAAATTGTCTAAAAAATTAAACTTCTGAGCATCTCTACTTTGCAGAAAACCCTTTTCTTAAATAAAAACACCTGAAGTAACACAGGTACCCTCTTTACCAAGCACAATGTCCAAAAACACCCAGTACACCAAACACCCAAAATATGAATTATAATTGGAGAGCGTTCTGACCAGCTGTCTCACTGTGTGGTGTGGAGGCTGCAGCATCTCAGACTGGAAGAAGGTAAGAGAGTAGTAAGAACAGCAGAGAGGATTATGGGGGCTCCCCTTCCTTCCATTAAAGACATTTCATCCCAGCACTGCGTGTCCGGAGCCCGTAACATAATAAATGACCCCTCACACCCCCAACATGGACTGTTCTCCCTGCTGCCCTCTTGAAAGAGACATTGCAGCATCAGGTCCAGCAGATTCCAGAATAGCTTCTTCCACACTGCCATTAGACTGCTGAATGTTATATAAAATGGTTTATTAAAAAAATAAAAAACCTGAATGTTGGAACTGTAACTATACAGTCGTATGTTTACATTACTTTTTTTCACCACAGTGGGGGTTTTTTTCATCTCAGTGTTTTTATCAGTGCTGCTTGCCTTTATCAAGGCTGCACTTTAAAAAATGGAAAAGTCTAGAGAGCTGCACTAAATGAAATCTATTTTTGAGTGTACACTTGTGTGTACAAAATGACAAAATAAATTTTGTCTAATGTCTAATCTAATCTTATGTCTACTCAGAGGTACTACAAACACATACAAAACATACACGAGTGTCATTGTATACAGAAGAGATGCATCACATCTCAGGATTTCAATTAGTGCAACAATAGCTTCTGCCAATAGAGTATTGAATGTAGCTTCGGGCAGTAAATCACTTTATGACACAAAGGTTCAAAAAGAATCATTGCTTCAATAGCATTCCTAGTAATGCTGAATGACCGGAACAGGTAGTGCAACAAGCTTCTGGGAACACATTAGAAGCTGAGTGATTAGATTTCATTCTGGCAGCAAGAGGAGAGTGAGGCATGTATATAAAGAGAGTGAAACAGGTGGAAAATTTGGGAATAAAAAGGAGCAAAAGTTGGAGCTGATTATGGTGCTAAATGCTGGCTGGGAAGTGACTAAGATAAATACACAGTGGAGTTCAAGTAATTAGTCCAAAACTAAAACAGAACAAAAACCAATGCATTACAAATTCATATAAATCTTTAGTTGAATATAAAAACACAAATATGACCAATTTATGATATATAGTTTCAGCAGTTGATTGTTTGCCCCACACATTTTCAAGTTAAATCAAAGCTGAGAAGGATTTTTAGAACTTTTTTTCTTTTGTAACTGGTTGTTTTTTGTGAGGAAATAATAAAACCAAGAACAGCATGTTCAAGAATATTAGGTTCGTTGAAAAGGTATCAAATCTGATTTTTGTCCGCGGGGTGTGTTAGAACTTTCTTTCATGAGTAAGTCACAAGTTAAAAGTATTATTAAAAGAAAGGTTCAAGAAAAATGGCAAAAACAATGGGAAGAAGATATAAAAGGAAGATGGCTTTACAGAATACAAAGGAAGGTTGGGAAAGTTCAAGGGAAAATTGGGAGGAACAGAATACTTAGGACATACAGGACTTAATTTAACATTACAGTTAATGGAAAAACATGAAACAGGAAGTTGCAATATATGTGGGGAATTTCAAACCATAGAACATGTTATGTATAACTGTAGGAAATATCAAAGAACACAGCTGATAAGGAGTCTTGAAAAGGAAAAAGAGCAGTATTGTCTAATAAATAGTTTAAGGAAAATCACTTACAATTTAGGTCATAGAATTATGTTTCATTTTTTATTGGTAACAGGTTTAGTGAAAAGAATATATTTTATATATTTATTTTATATTTTATAATATATATTTTTAAATACATATATATATTTTTGAGCATGTTTGTCCTGATCCACACTCCTTACTGATTGGTGGCGGTAATGCGCCATAAAGTTGTTTGCCAACCGCCAATAAATTCTAGAAGAAGAAGAAGTTAGGACTTTCTTAGGGGTAGCTATAGCTCCCCCTAGCGCCGCTACTGGGTAGCGCCAGTCCAACCGTCAGGTGCAGCAGGAGGCAGACTGAATTGCTTCCTTTCTAATGCGGGTGAACTGGTGGAGCATTTTGTGACTATGGCGAGTGACAGCTGTAACGACGGCTTCGAAATCGATTCTAAGCAGCTCCAAGCTAATGCCACGACGGAGTATTGCTTGAAGTTACAGCGGTGGATGTGGGAGCATTACTGGGGCTATGCTAGCTGGCAGAGCTGGCTGGCTCTGTCCGCCTTTCCTTTTCCTCCGCAGGGCACCGCCGCTCAGACACTAGCTGCTCGTGCTTCTAGCTCGGTCAGCGGACAGCAAGCGTCCGACACTGTGAGCTGGTACGGTCACCCGTATGCCTTCAGACCCCCTGGGTCATTCCCTCCACAGGCGGAGCAGCGCTCAGCCGCGGGTGAGGAGCGGAGGCAGCCGAACGGGAGTCCACCACCGGCAGGTAGGGCTCTCCTCTGCATGGTGCACCTTGCGTGGTTCCTAAAGGCTTCAGATAAGACCTGAATGTAAAGGGAAGCGGGATTAGGAAAAAGTCCAGCTGGTAAATAGGCTTATAAGGATTGTTCTTTGCTCTTTGTTTTCCTCTACGAGTTTTATTTAGATGTGAAGTAGCTTCAGAATAATTAAAGTGCCTTGCAAAATGATTAACACCTAAACTTTTTGCATCCAAACCATCACAGCAATGTAATTAGATTTTATGTGTTTAATGATCATGAAATAAAACTGTGATATGGATTGAAAAAATTACCTGTTCTCACCTCAAACTCTGAAACGTGTGGCGTGCATTTTTTCCAGCCCCCTTACAGAGCCGTAGCCAGAAAATTTTAATAAGGGTGGCCAGGCAATAACCAATGGGTGCCCCAAGCGGATAGGTGCCAGAGCCTCAGGGTCAATCTACACTGACCCAACAGGAAAATGAACAATCACAACATCCATTCCGTAAAAATTCAAAAAATATCCACTGGACTTGGTTTTCAAGATTTCAAATCTTGAAAACCAAGTCCAGTGGATATTTTTTTGAATTTTTACGGAATGACTATGACCTGGATGACTGAGAACCTTCATCAGCACAACATCCATATTTTCTAAATAAAGACAAACTATACTTTCCTACAGCCTTTGCTAAGAAATAGATGCATATATTTAAACATCCATGCTGTCTAAATTAAAGGTGTGGTGGACAAAATTCTTTCAGTTTTGAGTTCTGGCACGAACATCTTATTCATTGTCATTACTAACCTATTTTTATTAATAATCATTCAGCATAAAATTTATACCTACATGTACTAATATCTACATTCAATGGATTACTTATTATTAAAGTAGTTATTTATCTCTGATTTCAGTAAAGATTCCTAAATGACTTGCAGAGACATAATTTCCTCTTTACTCCATATAAGACAAGATCTAAAAAGAGCATGAATTCTGTATTTATCTTTAATGTTAGTATATTCATGTGCATAATTAACCACAGGGTTTTTGTTGTCAGGTTATTGTTTAAATATAGAAAATGTAAATGTTAAATTAGTTAGAACATTCCATTTGAGAGTATTATTGCTGTCACCGTCTGTATTAGAGGGAAAAAATGGTAGGGGTGGCCAATGATTGGGTTAGGGTGGCCATGGCCACCCCTCGCCCTCATCTAGCTCCGCCCCTGTCCCCTTGGTATCATACTTTAGTACAGTAGGATCACCTTCCCTGATAATTTCAGCAGCAAGTTTTTATTAAAGAAGTTATTATAATACTTTGAGCCATTTAGGCATTTTTTGCTAAATGATACCTCAAACTATAATGGTATGAATAATTTTTAAAGCTATTTTGGACAAAGAAATATGGGAAAGGTTTGTGCTTCTGGTGCTGGGACAGTCATGTTACTGTAAATTGTAGAAGTGGAAGGGGATTCCTCTATGTCTTCCTCATCATCATTACTTAGATGGTTGGATTAAGGTTTGGACCAAAAAAATCCAGCACAGCCTGGGAATTCGATGAAAACGCCTTCTAATGTGTGCACTGCATGCTCTTATTGATCTTTTTTTTTTTTGTAACAGTTCACAAAGAACTATTGAAATGATTTTCAGATTGCACATAAATAGATTCATTAATTCTTGGGGAAAAAGGGAATTACCTTAGGGTTAGGATTGCTGGTAGGTTGGAGGCAAAATTTTGAAGCCATTCTATTGGACTTATAACCACTAATAATTGGCCATTTATTGGGATGATAACATCCAAAGCGGTTGCAAACAGCCACTAAGTATTTACTGTATGATTGTAGACAGAATTAAACTGAGGAGGAACCCCATAATATGATGCACAAGTCCTACCTGTTTGAAAATTTTTAAACTTCATTGTTACTAACGTTACAAGCGATAAACTATTTCCCCCCTAATTCTATCGTGGCTACAGCAGGCTATGGCAGGTTATTTTGATATGTTTTAGATTGACTGAATATGTATTTCAGATATCTGAAAAAAAATAAATAAAAATTTCTCATCAATATGAACATTAAAAAAAAAATGGTATTCTTCACATCTAGAATAAACATTCTAAATGTCTAGAAATTTATTTCAGATCTCTTTTTTTCCTATTGTTACTGATCATGATTTGTATTATTTTGACTATGAAGAAATATATTTTATATATCATAAATGCATATTCAGTCAGGCTGATGAATGTCTAAACGGCCTGCAGTAGACCATATAAATCTAAGTATTAACTCGAGCAGTAATCTTCTCCTTCGCCATCTTCCTCTCCTTTGAACCTATAATATTTTTTTCTAATTTATTTGATGTTTTTCTTACCTTGGATAAATGAAAAACAAAAAACAAAATGTCAGGTAAATTAGAGAAGCTGCAGAAAGGTGTGTTAAACTAGGAATTTGCTTCCTGGCCGGCACTCTGGGCTGTAAGGGTATCGAAGAACAAATACATGTGGCCATATACTACATTAAATTCTAAAATGAAGTTTATGTAGGGATTGAAAATTTTCAGTTTAGGCAACTGGATGTGAAGTTTTCCAGAAGCCGTTTCACCTTGGATCCAAGAGGCTTCTTCAGTTTAACTAATGGTGGGGAGCACTGAGGTTAATGTACTGTAGGTATAACAAAGAAATATGGGAAACATCCTGGTTACACCTACAGGTATTAATCTCAGTGCTTCCACCACTAGTTAGAACTGAAGAAGCTTCTGAAAACCTGGAAAACTTCACATCCAGTTGCCTAAACTGAACGTTTTCAACTTTTTTATTTAGTTTTTTTTCTGTTTTGTATGTTATTTAATTTTTTCTACTTTAATTGTATTGTTAGATTTGTATCTGTGTCATTGTTAACATGGGACAAACCATGAACTGCACAAAGGAAAATAGTTTCTGCATTATATTCACAGGACGAGAGTACACAATCCCCTCGCCTCTCCAGAGGTTCCTGGCAGAGACTGTGGATTTCCTCATCCTGTTCTGTGTGAAGGCCACCATCGTCTTATGGATAATGCATCTCTGTGGAATGAAGTGAGAACCGTCAGTGTGATTAAGAAACAAAAAGCAATTCAATTAATCATTTCCAACTTTAGTTTCATACCTCATACGAACCAATCGTCTCCTCTTCTTTCAGGGACATTGCCAAGTTCATCACCCACTTCATTATTGAGGAGATCGATGAGAACACATCCATCGAGGACCTGCAGAAAATGATGGTGGTCGCTCTGGTTTACAGGGTGCTGGTCTGTGTCTACGAGGTGGGATACGTTTTTAACTGCCTGATTTGTTGAGTCACTTAAAGTAGAATATTTTTTAGTTGGTGAGTTGTTTTTTGGTTTTTTTTTTTGTTACTCTTACATTGATTGTTTTTAACATTAATTCATAAATCAGACGATGTCCTTGTCTCTCTAAAGTGGCAACAACCCTGGTACATGTTGTACAAAACCCTGATCTTTATAATTCACCTGAAGAACAAGATGTGAAGTTCATTAGGATGGGCAACATAAGATTAGCAGATATCACATTATGTTTATTTATATATGTATATATAATTACATTTTTTAAATGATTACAGTTTTTAATTTTCCCTTTCAGCTTTAAATTTTTTAAATGGAAAATGAGAATAGGTGTTCTAAACGGACTTAAGTTAACCACAGCGTAATGACTGTCTAGAATGTTTTTTTTTTTTTTTTTTGAAAAAAACTCAAAATCAAACATTGAGGGAAGATGAAGGTTCTTTCCACTACATTCACAAAGAGTTGCTTCATTGCTGCATGAAGTGACTTCTGTGCAACAAAACATCTTGTTCCATAGAGGGTCCATGATGCAACGTTGCATTCAGAATTGCCTTGGATGAAGTCATGCGTACTGCGTCTGGCGTTGGACGTCTGTGGCTGCGACATTGTTTTCCCACATGGGGCTGAGCTCTGGGACGTTGAGGCACCTCGGATCAGTCTGATTCAATCTCACTGGTTTCCTTTGATGTTTTACATTCATACCTCAGAAAATACATTTCTGGTCTAATTCAAGTGCTTCTTAGTTTATTAGAATTTCATTATCAAAAATTTACATTTTAGAAATTCATTTACTAAAAATGCACATTGATTGCTCATTACTCAAGAGGCTTGGAAACTAAAGCCTTTATAATAGATCCGTATACGGTAGCAGGGCACTGAAGCCTGAAGTTTATTAAAGCACAGATGTATACAGGAAAATGGACTATAATGACTATATTTCATCTTGAGCCACCTGTAAACCAGAGAAGAGGATTGGCTCAACTGTTGGTCTGTTGCACATCTTGTCTACATTGACAGCAGGTCATTTTTCAAAGAAAGCAGAGATGGTTTCAGGGGTGCAACATCATCCAAACTCATGAGCAGCTTCTGAATGAAGGTGAAGGTGCCAAACATGTTCTTTGGGTAGTCCAGATGCAAAGCATAAACCAGCCCAAAAAGTAACACATATGCATCAGCAAATGTGGTAATGTCCCTCATGACAAATTCATCTTCAACCATAATGGCTGTGGATACAGGACTGAAGTGAAGTAGAAATGGACTTCTTCCTCTGATCACTGTGACAATACCAATGGGTGTGTTCCTGATGTCCGGCTCCTCTGATTCCTCACTCTGGAAAATGCAAAAGCACACTGTAACTATTTCTGAATACTAATACAGCTGCCAACTCAACAATTAAGTATACAGCAAAGTATTACACAGTCGACCTTATTGACAGAAACACATTCATAAGGAATAAAAATATCGTAACTAAAATATTTTTAGTTATTATGATTATTGCACTCACTCCATGTAACACGTGTTACGCCGAATGTGTAAAATAAGGGCGCAGACAAGCAGAAAAAACGACTTCTCTGTGGCATTTACACAATTAAACAACATGCAGATGTGTTTGTGAAGACTTAACCATCATACTTACACGTTTTCTTGACTTCAGCAACGGCTCGCTCCGCTCGCTTCCCGACCGCCATGTTGGTTTGATTTTGCCTGACTGGTTCCCGCCGACGTTTGGACGCACTGACGTCATTACGTTGTACTTCTCTGTGCATTCAAACCTTTCGAGTAAGGCAATGATTCACTCAGAGAGTTTAAAGTAGCACGAAATTATAAATGCATTCCTCGTTTGGAACACTTAGTAACTTAAAGTTGGGTTGACTTGATAGTGGAATTTGATTGTTTTCTTCACAATACTTTTGAGTAAGTATTGATGTTTGGGTTTACAGTGTACAAGATCGTGTACAAAACACAGTTGCATTAAAATGGTACCACATAGACCATCATAATTTGTTATTTACTTTTCTTCTTTGCTGTTCACAATGCTGCATTGTTTAACCGTGTTAAATAAAATGTAAACCCAGAAAACTGGCCCACTGATGTCAGGAAATAGTCTGCTCCTTGTTGTATCACAGTGATGCAGTAATTCCTGCAAAAAGAGTCTCCTCCAACTGTTTAGTTGTTTTACTGCACATAACAAAATTCTGGAGTATAGATCCGAATTTCAGTTTAAAAAAAAGTTAATATTACATGCAAATGCTTTTCTAAGTTTATGATGGTAATAGTATTATTTGCCAGAAAGATCAGAAATACTGCATTCAAACTGTTACGATGTTACTCTGTAGTAACTGATTAGTTAAACTGAATTACTGACATTTCAGTGATCTCCTGACACATATAGATGCACATAGAATTGTTTTTTGTCTGGTTATATATTTGGTTTGCATTAAACTTTAAATCTTTGATGCTTTTCTCTTGTTTGACCAGACGGTTTGTATTTGGGGAGCTGGAGGTGCGACTCCAGGAAAGTTCCTGCTCGGTCTGCGGGTGGTGACCTGCGACACCTCCACCATGGTACGACCCAACCGCGTTCTTGTAGTTCCAGCATCCAACGTCTCCCTCTCAGCGTGAGTGATGGCATCTTTTACTTTCATGAAGGTTTCCTTTATTATATGAGATCATTAAAACAATTTCAGATTTTTCCTTCCATTCACAGCTCCACGGTGCGGGCACTAAACAAGAACTTCTCCATCACTTTCCTCTTCCCCATCTTCATCACGCTACTCTTCTTCCAGCACAACAGGACTGTTTACGACATTGTGGCCGGCACCATAGTGGTTAAACGCAGAGGGGGTTGATGGGTTTCCCCATGTCACACACTCCGCTTTAGTCACAGAGGGCAATTGTTTAGTTTCTAATAAAAAAACAAATAATCTATTCTAAATGTATATTTTGTTACACTGAAAGAGACGTGTTTGAACATCACTAAGCAGAAGTTTGACTGCGGTTGTAAAGGACATTGATACAGATATGGTTGCAGAATATTTTTTATTAAAATAAAAAACTGACTGCACTGAGAAGATTTCAGTTTCCTTATAAGTTATGTAAAAAGAATAATTTATTTGCCTCCATAAAGGGGGAAAAAAATGTGTACATCTGCTTTATCGCTCTTACATATACAATATGGATGTGCTATTTTTTTAAAACCGTTTTTTTTAAAGCCAATTTAATCATTCTCAAATCCTAAATAATACCTCTCCATCCAATCGTATAATATAGTGTTTATTGCCTCTATAGAACTATTTTTCTATATAAAAGAGCTGAATATTAAGACTTTTGCACTAAACTATATTGTAAATGAGCCAAACTTGGGGAGCCTATAGATGGGCAGAAAAATCATCAATGCGATCTAAGTTCAATGCTCATGAGTTTGTGGATCCTTTGAGAGGCACCAAGTTAAACCATATATACTTTGGGCTAAAAGCATACAAAAAAAATGCAAAATATCTGCATGCAAAATTCCACATATTGCACATATCTTTGTTGTTTTTTTTTATGTCAAATTCTTTCTTTTTGAGCAGGTTGTTTTGATCGGAGCTGTTTGTTCGACCTCTGAAGTATTATTTAACTTGTTTCAGAAAAGCTGTATAGAGAAGAGCAGTAATGTTATTTTTCTCTCTTTTTTTTTGTTAGATTACTTTTTTTCATATTGTCCTTTTAGAAACTGTAAAAGAAGATGCTAAATAATTTGGTTAGATTTTTCTTTGTTTTTTTTTTCCTGTTCTTGAAATCAGTAATTTATCATTATTAATGTTATATCCTTTAGTTTTGTCAAAATGAAAACAGAAAATGTATGTTCTTTATGGTTAAGGTGACTTTTACGTTATGCACAGTTCAAACATAAAAAAAAAATAAAAAATTGTGACTAAGGGCAAATTTTTAGCATTGATGCAATATTTTAAGTATAAAATGTCTTTATGTGGCCAATGTGAAGCTATTCTGGTATTAAAGGACTATGCATTCTCTGAAGATGTTTATTTCTTTGCATTGGTTCATGAATGCTTTCTGTTTTACTTGTGCATATGTGAGACTTCAGATAAAATAATACCTTTAGGAAAAACAAGAAACAGCTGACACATGTTAGCTAGTGGATCTGGAATGTCTATTCTACCTCGCATTTGTTAAATGAACCTTAATGTTGGTGGTTAATAAGAATAGAATTACAGAGGGACTTTAAGCTGACTGAACTGAATAACAAGAGGGCTGTTTTATGAAATCCACTGAGAAAAGCCAGACTTGGAAGCTCAATTTTGGCTCAACTTGGGTCAAACTTATTGAGCTGTGTTAATAATCACTAATGCAATAAGAGTTCAACTAATCAGTGTAAGCGTGCAAATATGCAGAGTTAATTGAAGAAACAATGGAAAGAAGTGAGAATGCTCACCTTCACTAGACACATTTCACAAAAACACATTTCATCAGCAGAAAGCTCTCAGTTTCAGAAAATTGGTTCAAAAATGAAAAGGGAACACAGGCCAAAAGATTAAACTGGTAAATCAACGCTTTTATCATACACATCATTTCAGATAAATCAAAATTAAATGCAATATTAAACCAGTCAGTTTTGACACTTTTTAAAATAAATGTTAGCCTAAAGTATCATGACAAAAATGTTAATAATTTTAGTGAAATTTCAGTCAAATTCTTCTTTCCAATCTTTCTTGTCGTCTAGTTTTAGTCTGGAGATATTAGTGATAATTTTAGTCACAAACATCTTTTAATTAGGATTTAGTCATATTTTATCCCTAAAACACCTTTTCCCCCAACATATATCTTCCACTTGCAATATCTGCTGTGAGATACGCACTGTTGAACAGTGAAAACTAGGTATAATAATCTCATTTAAAATGGTAGCTCTGATAACTTTTTATTTTAACAAGGCAGCAAAAAGATTCAGCCACTTGAGATCATGTTCAATGAATTTATAAATAATTACTTTGGTGATTCATAGTTTATATCTTGTTGCCATATTGATATATCATAAATTTGGACCAAATAGTGGTTCTAAAACCGTTCCTGTCACTTATGGCGACTCCATTTCATACCCCCTGGTGTTGGATTCAACAAAATAAGATATGCTTAGAACTTTGTTTGCTCTGAACATGATCCAGAGCAGGCTAACCCAAAAGACACCAAAATAAACCAGACTTGGAAAACTAAACCTGACTTGCAAACTAAGCCATACGTCACTCTGGAGTAGAGGAGATGTTGGACACTGGTACCTTAGCTCAATGATAACAGTAGTGTCTGTATAGTGTGCCCTAAACTCTGCAGACATGTGCTACTTTATTTTCTCCACTGCAGAATATAAGGAAAATACGCCATTGATGGATTTGGCACCAGCCGTGTTTCTCCAAATTGTATCTCTTCTTCTATAACTAATGTATATATCTTTTTTCCTGTATATTATATATGTATGTTTATAAATATATGTATGTATGT